GTTTAGATATCAAGGTTGATTTTATTTCTACCCTTAACTTCTGGTTAATTAGCTCTTAATTCCTTCTAAAGCTCTGCGGAGTGAAAAATTTGCTGTCGTTGGTGGGACAGATTTGTCAGGAACCTGCAAAAATGATCTTCCTGCTTGTCCTTGCTGTAGCAACTTACGGTTTCCTTCCTTGCAACCTCTTCAGCTAAGCTCTGAGTGTAGACTTCGAGATGGATGGTTCAGGATGTATCCTACGCCTCACTGCTCATCGGATCTCTTTCTGTTGTTCATCAGTCCCCTCCCCCAGCCCCTATTTCCTCTTCTTGCTGGAAATTGCCCTTCTAACTGTTTCCTCCAGGACTTTGTGTTCAAAGCCTTCTATGATCTCATTCCAAATGTCATTTCTAGAGATATCTTTCACTACGAACTTTTATGTAGCTTTTGAATGAGCTGGCCCACTCTACTTGACATTTCCTCAGATCACTTCACACCTTCACAGCTCCATATTGGAGCTCATGCAGTTTTCTCACCTCTTTCAGTTTCTCACAATGTTTGGTGTAATGCCATTATGTTTACAAATCTTTTGCTGACCCTCCTAGCCAATATTAATTAGAACATTACATATAGTGAAAGGATAAAGTGTCTAAAAATTTCAGATTATAAGTTCGATGAAGTCAATAATCATTCATCTTCATCCTCAAATGATCTGGTTTTCAACACCACTTAGATACGCACAATATTTGAATGCTTTACAAGCTTTCTATGCTGAATAGCTTTAGTTGTCAATTTGACACACATGGGTCGAGGGAGCCTCAATCAGGGAATTGCCTGTATTGGACTGGCCTGTGGCCTGGTCTGTTAAGGATTTTGTTTGTTGAGTGACTGTGGGAGGGCCCAGCCCACTGTGGGCGGTGCCACCCCTGGGGAATTGGTCCTGTATTCTATTAGAAAGCAGTTTGCATGTGGGCAGGGAGAAGCCAGTAAGCAGCTATCTTCCATGGTCTGTGCTCCAGGTTCCTGCCCTGAGTTCCGGCTTTGGCTTCCTTCAGTGATCCACTGTGACCTGAGAGATGTAAGATAAAATAAACCCTTTCTTCCCCAAGTTGATTAGTGTTCTTATAATAGCAATAGAAAAGTAACTAGAATACTTCCCTAGCCTAAAATCACATTATTTTATAATATAAAGCAGATTCTATTAAGTGGTATTTATCCTCTTGGGACTGTAACAAGTGTCAGAATCTGCATGAAGGGGTGGTGTAAGCAACTCTGCCTCATGTTGGTTACTTCCATGATAATTACTGTAGTAAGCAGAGTGGTTTCCTTGTTTGCCAGTGTATACCTCCTAGTAGAGGTCAGTAGAGCTGGTGTTTTTCACAGTGGTTCTTAGACTCGAGGTTACATCTGAGGTACAGAAGGGTTTACTTTCTTTACTTTGTCTTTTGAGACAGGGTCATGTGATCAGATCAGAAGAGTTTAGAACTCATGATCCTTCTGCCTCTGCCCTCCACGTGTTGGCATTATAGGAATGTTCCCTCATTCCCAGCCTGGGAGGAATTTTGTTTTCAAATATGGCTACTCTCCTTTTGCTGCCAGTTTCTGAGTTGATCAGTTTGGGAGAGGACCTGAGAAATTTCAGTTTTAACAAGTGTTTAGGCATTACTTATTATATTATTTCATGAAACACATCAGGAAAAGTAGTGCTTGATAAAATGAACTAAGCGTTTAGTATGCTTGTTGAATGTAGAAAGTAGAAGTAGATAAAAGTTTTTAATAATAGGGGCTGGAGAGATGGCTCAGTGGTTAAGAACACTGACTGTTCTTGCAGAAGACCCAGGTTTGAATCCCAGCACCCACATGGCAGTTGATAACTGTACAACTCCAGTCCCAGGGATCCGACAGCCTCTTCTGACCTCCATGGGCACTGCATGACATGGGTGCACTTACTTACATGCAGGCAATACATGCACATACATAAAATAAAAATAATAAAAATTTTAAAGCAGTTTTTAATAAAAATTACACGCTAACCACTTAACAATGAACAAAAAACCATTTGACTCGAATTTAATATCACCTTCATTGCAGGCATGGTACAGTGGAGGTTTAAATCCAGTTCATTATTCAATCCACTGTCTGTAATATATCACTATTTTCAAATCTCTGGTCATCAAATATGCCAGGAGTCTTAGGATATAACCACTTCTCCACCCGTAAACCATCTTACTTAGATTCTGCAAGGGAGTTTATGGATATTTCCTGTTTAAAAAAATTTCATGGTGTCTTAAAAAGCAATTTATTTATTGTGCATATGTATGTGTGTGTGTGTGTGTGTGTGTGTGTGTGTGTGTGTGTGCGTGTAGGTAGGTAGGTAGGTAGGTAAGTAGGTCAGAGAAGAACTTGCAGGAATTGGTTCTCTCCTTCAATCACGTGGGTTCTAAGAACTAAACTTAGTTTTTTAGGCTTAGCAGCAAGACCTTTACCCCCTAAGCCATGTTGCTGGTCCCTGGTGGGTTTTTTTAAAAGCTAGTTGGCACCAACTTTGGTTGACCTATTAGCTCAAATAACTTGCACTTTATTCATGTTAATTTACCTTTTTTACTTATTTTAGGCAGCAAATTTAAAAATAAGCCTTTGACTAAGCACACCATATAAAATAAAATACTAAATGATGACTTAGAACTCCATCTCCGAATACGTACTCTCCAAGCATCTCTGGAGTGCCTGAGAATGACAGCTCTTGGTTTTAAACATCCCCAATGTGAGGAGCAGTTGAAAGCACCATTCAGTGTGCTCCCATAACTCTTCCTAAACTACTTCTCAAATGTTTAGTATGCTTTCCACACAGGTAATTTTAATTTCTTAAACTGTTGCCATAAAATGGAGAGGTGCCCCTATGGGTGAGTTACAGCACCAATATGTCACAGAGCTGGATGAATCATGCCAGAGCCTGTGACAGGACAGCTGTACCATTTCTTGCCTCTCCAGATACTTCTTTCTTTTGAATATTGCTAGCATGTCAGGACTTCCAAAATTGGTTAAGATTAGATATATGGCTTATGGCAAAAGTGTGTCTCCTCAGTCTTCTACCACCATGACAAGGCTAAACAGTGCACAGGGACACCCTCCGTCATTTCGTTTTAACTCATTTGATCTCCTTGCTCCTTAGACACAAAGGAAAGCAGAAGTTTTTTAAAATCCAACTTTGTTCAACTATCACTATCATTCAACAAACATTTTAGAAATCTTAGGCCATGGTAGAGTGCTGAGTTATCTATCAGTGATTATGTAATTAGACGTAATTAGACGTTAGAAGAGCTACAGGTCTTCTGAAGATTTCAGATCTACTGGGAAACTAACAGCAAAGGATGCATTGTTTGTGAAGAGAAAGTTGTTTAAACATCAAACAATTCTGTGGCATTATGTGCGGTAAATACAGTCTTCGGGAAAGGAATCCCCACATTAAGATCAGGAAGAAAGACAAAAGGAAGAAGGGAACTACGTATTCCAGCTTCAGCCTCAGCAGCACTTCAGCAAAAGGTGTTTTTAGGTCTCTGAAAGAAAAAAGGGGGAAAACCACCCAGACGGATCTGTTCACGTTGTTCCCTTTAAAAATAACCTTTCACAGGATGCAGAAGTGCATGCCTTTAATCCCAGCACCTGGAAGGTAGAAACAGGCGGATCTCTGTGTGATCGAGGCCCGCCTGGTTTATATACCATGTTCCAGACCAGCTGGGGCTACAGGGAGCCCCTGTCTCAAAAAACAAAACAAAAACAAAAACAAATCCCAAAACTTTGGTGGGGTTGGTGATGTGGCTCAACCTCTAAGAGCACTGGCGGCTCTTGCCGAAGACTCAGGTTCAGTTCCCAATACCCACAAGATGGCTAATAAACATCCATAGCTCCAATTCCAGGGGATTTGATGCCCTCTTCTGGCCTCCATGAGCATTGCATGACACAAGTGCACTTACATGCAGACCAAACACTCATACAAATATAAATTAATATTAATACAAATATAAATTAATATTAATTAATATTTTAATGTAAAATTTAAAAAAATCCTTTGACTGTGAGCCCATTCCAGAGAAAAGGGGAATGAGAGTCTCCAAAGCTGTGATCTCTTAACCAGGTGTTTCTCATGTGCTCAATTTCTTACACAGCATGAAGAACAGCTGTGATTGCAGCCAGATTAGCTTGCAGATTAGGCTTGGGAACTGCAGAACTCTGATACCAGTGCCTGACAGTACTCTGTATATGTTCCTGTATAATGTGATACATTCATGGTAGAGTTGGGGAATTGGCTGGTACCATTTAGACTAGCACACTGTCATTGAGAACAAGGTGTCCTGACATAGGGAGAGCTTCTTTCATACCACTTTAAAAATTCTTCTGTAATCTAAGTGTTCTAGTTTGCTTCTCTATTGCTGTGACAAAATACTCTGACCAATACCAACTTGGGGAGGAAAGGGTTTATTTTGCGTACATCTCCCAGCTAACAATTCATCAGAGAGCCCAAGGTATGAACTCAGGGCAGGAAGCTGGAGGCAAGAGCTGGAGCACAGGTTATGGAGGAACACTGCTTACTGGCTTGCTCCCCTGGCCTGTGCTCAACCTACATTTTTTATATAATACAGGACCATCTGCCTAGGGATGGCACCACCCACAATGGGCTGGGCCCTCCCACATCACTCAACAATCAGGAAAATGCCACATAGACATGCCTATAGGCCAGTCTAATGGAGGCAATTTCCCAATTGAGGCTCCCTCAACCCAGGTGTGTCAAGTTGATAACTAAAGCTATCCAGCACAGTAAGTGATCTAAATGTCACTGACTTAGTAGTAAATGATCATTAAAAACACACACACAGACGCACGATCATTCCCAGTTCTGTTTTTTAGACTCTTCAGAGTCTTCCTCTTGACCTTTGTAAACATATATCAGCTTCACTACTCTAACCTTATTCAACCTGATGTCCATCCCCAAGACTGTGATGAGATGCCCCAATACTTACCTCCAAATCGGTCATGTTCTTCTGGTTGTCAGCAGACAAACGATTTGCCTCTCGTGTTTTCTCTGTGGCTTCTCTCAGCAGGTCCCAAGCATCATCAATTCTGTCCTTGTAGTCTGCTAGTTTCCCTCGGAGATCCTTCTCCCGTTCTTCATTTTGGGCTCTAGGCTCTCCGAACAGCTTGTTTACTCTCTTCAGAAGGGCTTCAGCAGCTCTGCAAACACCCCAGTGCAAGCAAACAGAATGGCATCACGGCCTTGGGATTTACTGAGAGTAAACTATGTCACAAAGAGAAGCTAACATAAAAAGGCTAAAGTTACATGAACACATATCAAGCATATTCAGTGTGCACTGAATCAAGGTGAAAACTGGCATCTGAATGGGGCAGAGTTTCAAATTTAAATTGAAAACTAAAACCCACCTGTTAAAGTAATTAGTACTCTTGGTTTTAATTTTTAGGGGTTTCATGGCATTGTCATAATATGGCTGATGAAAGGAGAGTTTATGATTCAATTCATACATGAAAGCAACCCAAATGTCACCTGCCCTGTCACAGTGAGATAATTCCTTTATTACTTTGGTTATAAGGGATGAAGAACGACAAGTTTGCTTGGTAACTGTGGATAGAACTCTATTATAATTTTACCATGCTAGTATAGTGCCGTAATTTTGATCTACCCTTCTTTGACTTCTGAGCAGCCTGGAAGGTCTTTGATTTAACTTAACTGTATTTCCTAAAACAATAAGGTATAGGATGGCCTGGTAAAGTTATGACTTCATTTATCAAAGTTATTTTTTGAGACAGGGTTTCATATATCCAAACTTGGCCTTGAATTTGCTATAGAGCCAAAGATGACCTTGAACTTCTGATTCTCCTGCATCTATATCACAAGTGCTGGGATATACACAAGGTATATATCATCAAGTCCAGTTTGTAAAGTGCTGGGGATTGAACCCAGGGCTTTGTTTATGCTAGGCAAGTACTCTTCCAACCAAGGTATATCCCTAGCTTTATTGACAGTTCAAAAATCCCTAACAGGAGATCAATAAATCAAGCCCACTGCCTAATTATAGAAATAATGACACTAGAGAAGATCATTTACTTGATTATAAAGAGGAAATCTGTGCTCCTAACTCATTTTAAAGCAAGGTAAAGCAGAATTAAAACATGAAAAATAAATAAATAGAAAACGTATTTAGGTGAGAAAAACCAAGTCTCTTTAGCTCATGTGTGTGATGGAAAGTTAGAAAACTATAAATAATTTTCCAGGCTCAATCTAGCAAATGAAAAGACTGCAGAGAGTCTACTCACACCAGCTCATCCTCAGCCACTTCCTTCTGTGTGTCGAGATTCCTCCTCCTGAGTTCCTTCAGCATCCGATCTATCTCCTTCTGAAGTTCTTGTACATTTCTCTCCACAGCCTTGTCTTGACTTCTTAGTGTTTTATTTAGTTTAACAGCTTTTTCATTTACAGCTGTAGGGGGTCAAGCAAATTTTGTAAATTAGGAAACGAAAATGTCACAAGCAACACTGGCATTCAACATCTGTTCTTCCTCACCAAAACCAAATGAAATGTCATTTGCCAGGGGTGTTCCTGCTGGGAGCCAGAAGAGGTATCATGACAGTCAGCATCAAAGAAGGAAATGTGACACAATTCTCCACATTAAATTTCTTTTGAGGAGCTGCAGTAATTAAAGTAGTGTGTTTCTAACTTCAAATAGAAGGCATACAAATAAAGAAGTGAATCAGGTGAGAGGTAAAAAACATGAGATGTGTAGTTTACCACTTCAACACTGAAACACAAGATCTATAGCACTGTTGACAGACAGCTATCTTCAGCCAATTTTAAAATACTTGAGCTCTGTGAGCATGAACTTGTCCTTGCAGGTTCTCTTGTATTCATGTTTGAAAGGAGTGAGGGAAGGAACACTGGTCTAGGCATCAGGGTTATAGATAGGCCTCAAACACCCATCCTATGTGTCCATGTTTACTACAGTAAATGGGGTTTCATGCTATGTTCTTTGGAATATTAGGATTCTCCAAGTGCCTCAACTATTCTACAAATGATGTCTCTTCTGCCAAGAACATGCTTTATAGGCTGGTGTTCTTGGCAAGATTTCATTTGGAGAAAGAATTCTCTGTCAAATAAAAGTTCAAAAAATTGGTAAGTTGAAACATTTACAGAGTTCTTCCATTCATTTTAGACTAAAGTTTTCTGAAGTATGTTCTATGGGACATTAATTTGGTGAGTTGAAGGGAGATATTTTGTCAAACCTTTTTGTCTCTTGAATTCTTATTTCTATAATATTACCCATGAAATCCTCAGAATGAAGAGTCTGGGTTGCCCAAGAGGTATTTTCTAACATTTAAAGGTATATCTGAAGATCTCTTTAAGACTTAATAAATCTTGAACTTTCCTTATTGGAGAAATTTTTCAGATTTTCACTTGTTAGAGCTCATCAATCAGGTGCACACAGCAGCCAGGATGGGCTTTGAGTGGGCAGCTCTGAAATGTGGTACTCTACCCAGCAGCATAAACTTAGGACTTGATAGAAATACAGATACTCGGGCCCCACCACAGATCTATTGGGTCAAAAAGTGTGGGAGTGGGAACCAGCCATCTAGTGTTTTACTGAGCCCCCAGAAATTCCTGATGTACACTGGAGGAGAAAGAGCCCTGAGAAGCAGAAGCAATTGTGTCTCAATATCTGACCTACCCATTCCAAAATGCAATTTTTTCTTAATGTGTTTGTTTAGAAAGTTGTTGTAGTCAATACTTTTTCCTGATTGTCATAGTTAAAGACAGAATGTTCATGTTCCTTCAAAATTCTTAAGGTGAAACCCAATTCCCGTTGATGGTATTTAGATGTGGCATTTGAGATATGATTAGATAGTGAAATTAAAAAGGAGACAGTATCTTTATAGAGGGATACAGGGAATGTCCTTTACCTCTCCACCATGCTAAATATCACAACGAGAAGGTTACCAGTGATCATGGAAGTGGCTTTTCAATAGACAATAAGGGTCCTTCTCTCTTGATTGACTTTTCAACTTCTCAAACAATAATAAACCATTTTTCTGTTGTTCATAAGCAACTCAGTCTACAATAGTTCTGTTATAGCATCCGAATGTAGTTACTTATAGATTTGTAAGAAAATTTAAATCACATCTTTAACAAACAAACATGGCCATTTCCAACCCTATGGTAGATATTATCCTTAGGTGCTATAATCTGGAAGCTTGGCTCCTTCTGGTCCACTGCTGAACACATACCAGAGAATCTTTCCACAATTCTGCCATTACTTTCAGTAAAGTATCTGTCAAACTGTATCATTTTGTTACAGAAGAATATGGACCATAGACAGATTGATTAACTTGGAAGCTCCCTCATCCAGTAAGTAAAGCATGCCAGAGGGTGAGTAAATTTAAGAAAAATTTGAGAAATTCTTCTTTTAAGATTTCAAGAAAAGTACAAGTACTACATGTAGTAGTAGGTTTATTTACAACCTGGCAAGCTTCATCCTTGCCGACTGCCATCCTGTGTATACAGCTGACTTTATTTGTTTGGTATGTAACCACCATATCATTTGTATACATTTAAACAATCGATTTTACTAACCAGCCTGCCAAAGTCATAGTTTTCTTTTATTAATGAACATATCAACAATAAAAGATATTTTGACAAAAGGTGAAAGAGAAGTGGGAAAAGGCAAACCTGGGCTGCACCTTCTGGAATGTATGCATCATTTCCTTTTTATTGAAATGACATGTTAAGAACTGAGAAAATTAATAGAAGACATAAAATGGCCATAAAAATGATGCTAAGTTAATAAAACATCATTTTTACATAAGAGGGGTTGAGGTTAGAAGTTAATGATAGAACCTTTACTTTAATGTAGGAAGAAGCCCCAGATTCAATCTCCAATACTGAGCAAAAATTTTTTTTTTAAACTTCAGTAAAAGAAAGTGGATTTCTCTACTACTATACATGTGGAATTAGAATCCCTCTATTTTTAAACTAAAGGTAAATGTGTTTATTTAGTGCCTTAGTCAATGGTGTATATGTGTCCCTTTCAATATTTTTCCAGAGTTGAAAATACTGCAAATATATCTCTTGAATTGACTTATTTATTCCAACATTATTGTAAAAAAGATAAATCCTTAAATACATTAATTACCAAAAATAAGTAATTAAAACATTTTAAATACAAGATTAAAATTAAGATAAAAAGAAATAAGGGGAAAGGTAAACAATGAGAGGGAGGGAACACATTTATAGATGGAAGGGCATGCTGTACTATTTGTTACAATAGATCAGCTTCAGGTCGCCACAGCAGCAGATGCATGGCAGAGCATAAACAGAGGAACAAAAGAAATATGCAGCACCCATAAAATATAAAACAAACCAACTCCTTGGATGAAGCAAATACATTTTTTCCTATCAAATAAGAAAAAAACTCCTCTGATGAGTAAATTTAACAGGAAGGAAAATGGTTACACTCTCATAGAGCAAAGAAGGATGTCTAGTATTAATTAAGTCCTATTATATGTCAAGACATAAACACTAATGGGGTTGAACTATGTCCTTTCATTAACTCTAATGCATGGGATAAAATGTAGTTCATTCATAATCTAATCAAAGGTCAGGGCACAGCAGATATTATAAAATTATAGTGAGGTAAGAATACCTTGGATGAATAGGAGCTGATTGTATTTCTATAAAGACCGATGACTGATAATGAAAGACAAGACATAAAACTGAAACAGACAAATGCCTGGTCGAAACATTCACTTTCTCCACGGCGATTTACTGCCACTAATAAAACACGAAAGTACTCATGATTATCTCCATCGCTGCAGTTTAGGGGAAGGAAGAAGAGGTGTGGATGTGTGTATAACCTATCCAGATCTTGAGCTGAGTCCTTCCCTCCCTTCCTCTGTCTCTCCCTGTCTCCCACCTCTTTTCTCCAATCTCCTTTCCCTCTCTCCTTCCTCACTCTCCTCTTCCCTAAACTGCCAAACCTTGTAGCACATTTCAAATAGAATTTAGTGGATCACTGGTGTAAATGCTTTGAACTTTTATTCAATTTTAATAATTGCATTCATTCTTTCAACTAGTGTTTGCTGGCAGACATGAGCAGTGTCCCTGTTTCCTCAGGTACAACTATTCCACCCAACGCCTCACAGGGATTAGAAGACAGTGTCCATCAACACAGATGCATTCAGATCATCTGACCAAAGCACAGTGCAGGACTGTACGAAACAAGAGATACATCCGGTGACTGGAAATGCAGCAGAACATATTAAAGATGAGCACAGACTGGGTTACCTGCTAGCTCCACACTGCCCCCTGTCAGTGGTTTTGTTCAGTGTACAAATCGTACCATGATTAAAAAACCAAACCAAACAAACAAGGAAAAAAAAAAAAAAAGTGACCAAAGCAGCAACTGTATATATATAACTATATCTGCCTCTGTGGTGTGGGAGGTGGAAGAGTCAATGCAAGGAAGAATACGACCAGCACTGATCATGAGGTCCATTAAAACATGTCAGCATTTATTGTCACCAAAGCAAGAGCAGTTTTTAAAATATTATTTATTTATTTATTTATTTATTTATTTATTTATGTGTATTTGTGTGTGTACCTTAACTGTATGTCTACCATCTACAGGTGTTTTCAGAGGCCAGAAGAAGGTGTTGGATTCAGGTGGTTTTGACCTGCCCCATGTGGGTGTTGGGAAGTAAACTTTGATCCTTTGCAAGAGCAGCAAATGCTTTTTATTGATGAGCTATATCCCTAGCCCCACAAACCAAAATTTAATTGATGTGACTTTAAAATGAGTCACAAGGACAGACTCCTGGGTGAGAAGTACTTGAGACTTTCCATTGAAGATGGAAGTGTTAACTGTCAACTTCAGAGATCCATCCATATAGAGGAAAACAGCTCTCTGCCATGGGATTTGTTGCTTGAGAGGCATATATTTTCTATTAGCATCAGTGGGAAAAAAATACAAGGTAAAATCACAATTCAGGGAGCTGAGCACAGAGCACAGTGAGTGAAGTCCCAACCCCCCGCCCCGCCCCGCTAAAAGTAACTTGTTTCAGAGACTGGAATGTTCTGGTTCAGAACAACTTTAGATGAAAACACTGTTGCTCCCCACAGTGAAGAGTCAGTGTCTAGTCTCTGTTCTCAGTGAAGCCAGGACCTCCAGTCAGAATATGCTTTGAAGCTTAGCTTTTATTGGTCTATATCACAAAGCAAAACTTCAAAATCACATAACATTGTAGAACAATAAAAATATTGTATTTTAAAAAAATCTACCTTTTGAAGTTTCTGAGCATGCATGTTTAATATGCATTTATAGGTGTTGGAGAGCTAAGGGCTTCTCATTCTGGGATTCTGCCCAAGGAAGTGGCTTTCACATTAACTCTAAGTTGTATTGAGGGGTGCCAAGAACTAATTCCTAGGGAACTGTGGACTAAATGCCAGGGACCTTTCAGTGAATGAGCACATCCAAATCCTGAGTAACAGATGTTCACCTGAAATCCATACCGAGTACTTGAAGGATCATTTTGAGAAATGCACCAAATGGAATGATATTTTTTAAGAATTAAAAATATTTTAAATAGTTTTGTATGCAACAATAGCAAAGTATATATTTTCAATGAATTATTCAATCATCCTAGAATTTATTCAGGAATTTATTATGATTCTGCATCCATAATCATTAATTCACTAACTGTTACTGTTCATTTAACCTGGAAGGCTATAGATTTCAGCTAATCATCACCCTCATACAGGGGAAATTCCAGTCCCATACAATCCATTCTTCCATTTTTCTATGGGGAGAAATCAAGATTAAAATGTGATTTTATAATACCTTCAGCATCCTGGACAAGCTCCTTAATGAATTCTCCTAAGGACTCTGCTCTTGCATTGGTCCTTTCAGCATCCTGTCCTGTCTGCTCTCCATCTGCTGTCACTTTTGTCACCTAATGAACAAAATTAAGGAAAAGCATAATTAATAGAGATGATGTAGCTGAAACTAGGCATGTTCCCATGGCTACATTTTCTTTCAAATTTTACTTTGAGCCAATGGCAATTGATGAATTATTGACCAGATATACCAGCAATAATGCCCTGTGCACAAGTACACAATTAAACATTGTTACTTCTTCCATTAAATGCAGATCAGAAAGCTGTATTTGATCTTTTAAAAAAAAACCCTTGATATATGTGAAGGTACAGAAGTGATAAAACACAGTTGTTTTTGAGGTTATCTTCAAGGTACTATTGCCCAAAATCTTTATGAAATCCTCAGCCTCCACCTGCTGTAGTTTGTCTGCATTTTATTTACTGAAAACATGTGAAGTGCAGGAATGGTCTCCTGAGGAGGGACCTGGCCATCTGTCTCAATAAGCTTGATCCTATAGATTCAGTTTAGATCAATATGTTAATTAAAGAAACAAAGAGGCAGGAAGTGCTTAGCTCTCCAACAGTTAATGCCTGTTTTATAACACTTCAAACATGCCAGTAAAACATTAAGGCACAATCAATGTTAGTTTTCCCATACAACATCACCCTAAATATGGCTGTTAATTACAGAATCATATACCACTGTCATCAAAATAAAGCAGAAGCCCCCAAATAGCTCCACCTCCCAAAGAGTGTCCTAAAACATGATCACTTTTGTTCATACCGAAAATGCCATTTGACACGGTGGGATGAATTTGATGTGTTCAAGGAGCACATAACACAAATACCAATAGTATGCCTGATGTTAAACGATTCTTTAAAGGAAACCATGAAGTTTAGAGCTATTGGCACAGGTTTTATGTTCATTTTTCTGTGTGTCTGCATATGCAAATAGGACTTCTTTTTCACTCAGAAGATGTGAGTAATCTAACAATTGATGATGAATCAGAGAATCAAAAATTGCATGTGATTTTGAATGAGGTTCAAGTTGGCAGAGTATTAATACTCTACAATCTTGTACCAGAGTGCTTTCAAACTAGTCGCAGTTGGAGAATTAGTATATATATATATATATATGGATTTTAACTAGATCTAAATGTTTGGCCAGCATAAAACATGGCAAGCGATGCTCCAGGAATTGCTCTGCATTTCATTATTTCCCAGTGGCAGCAAGAGGTTTAATTCATGAAAATTTTCAAGATTTTGCAAAAAGGAAGAATATGAAGCCCATTTATTATCATCTAATCTTTCAATTTGCAAGTGTTAGCATCACAAATATGCAAAGTGAAGAATCCATTGGCAAACATTTAAAACTCCCTTTTACAGTAGGTAGTGCATGAAAAAATGATCTGGATAACATCAATGTATTTAGTCTTTCGGGTTTATTCTTCTGAAATATTAGTAATGGGATTATTGCCCCTTTAGATTTTTGGAAATTCTCTTTGGAAGTAAACTCTACGTACAATCTTAAGTAACTTAACTGCTTTCATGGTAATCGCTGTAAGTATGTCCCAGTAGTTCCTTTCAAATGAGGTCTATCTATGTGTTTGCATTCAAGGCTCAGATGGGTCAAATAACTTTACACGCACGCACACACACACACACAGTTTTTAAATATTACTTTTGGTTGCTTAACTAAGGTCAACTATGTAAGATATTGACAGTTTGAAATATCTTAGACATGTCTATAGTTGAAGCTGTACCTTGACTAGATCTGCAGACACCATTCCTATTTTCACATATCACAGAAATGCATAAAGGACCATGTAATATGGTCATCCTCCAATATCTTACGAATTAATGGACCCAACAGCACCAGTATATCTTACTGAAATATAAGAATTTTAACTTAAAATTTATTTTTTTGTTTTATCAATATCTTCTACATTCCCAAATGATCACATAGTCACAGTATTAGGCTAAAATTTTTTAACCACATAATATACCTAAGCCTTTAAAAATTGTGCAAGAATATGCTCTCCCTTACATTTGGACGACCAAGATCATATTCATGGTGTTCTCTTGGTCTACTGCATTTCTGGGGTAATGTATAAGCAGTATCACTAACAAAGAGTTTACTCTTAATGCAGTTAATGTAAACACTCTAGTATCACTCTTGGGATAAGAAACATATTTACAAAGGTGATCACTGAGGCCCTGTGTAATCAGTCTCCCTGGTTTTCTTTCTTCACATCAAATATGCCAAACCTTTCCCTTCTTGGGATCCCTTTTATCCTGGTGTTTTTGCCTAGAATGAGCTTCTCAACACTGAGAGATTCTACCTTTTTCATTGGTCACCTTCAATTTAAGTGTCTCTTCTTAGCATGGCTGTCTTCAGGGTTCTTAACTAGGCCTCCAATCTGCTGCAGCCAAATACTTCCTTCATAGCATGATGTATCTTAGAATCACATTTACTTTTAATGAATAAATAACTGACAACCTGCTTACTGACTCTCCTCTCCTCTAAAGGTAAGCTCAAAGAGGGCATGTTGTGGTCTGCTTTGCTCATCATTTTGTATCAGTCTCCTAGTGTGGTCTAACTTAAAAAGTAGAGTCCTTAAATATAGTTACATAGATGACTAATTTTCCTTACAAATCTTGCCAAAATTGTTAGATGGTTTGTCATATCTATCTAATATCTACTTTTGGGTGCTAGGACTATGTCTTACCTCTGTTCATTCCTGAGCAGACCAGTTGTGGTATGTGGCAAATTGCAGGTGGTCTAAAATATTGGGTGACTGGCTGGTATACAGACATTCAAATCAACCCGGCTTCTGAAGTGCTAAAGCCTGCTGGAGGATTCCCAGTGCCATTCAGGCTGACCATATGCCTGCTGCTCCACTTGCCAGCAAATGTGGATGGCAGAGCAGGTTTCTGGGCATTTCTCTCTGCCTCAGGGAGCTTCTGCTCAGAAGGTGCAGCTGAGTACTTGGGCAGAAGGCCAGGCAGAAGACCCTCCGCTTGCAGGCACACTGCAGTCCACTCTGTCCTCTTGATAATAAACTTGGGCCCTGTGATGATGTACAAGAGTCATGCTGGGGAAGGTATGGTAGAGGTTTGGGGTGGGTAGAGTCCTCAGAATCACCTTAAGGCTGACTGAGGATGATTCTCTTCCTCCATGAATACAAGAACTTCACCTCTTGCTGACACTCTGGGAGAGGAGAAGATGTGAAGTTCCTGACACAAAAAGTGTTGGTTTATGCAGATTGGCACTCTAAACCACTTAATACATCTAATCCTTTTAAAAAAACTATATATTCTCTTTTACATTTGGATGATCAAAGTTATATTTATTTTGGTCTACTGCATTTATGAGATAATGTATAAGAGGTATCATTAACAAACCTTTTACGCTTAGTTCAAATTCTCTAAGTACTCCAGCATCACTCTTGGGGTAAGAAACATGCTTACAAAGGTGATCACTGAGGCCCTGTGCAATGAGTCTCCCTGGCTTCACACAGTCAGCCTCTGCTATATCCTGGATTTATATGCAGATTCAGAAGGGCTTACAAAACTGTTCCAGTTATTTTCCTGCTTTTAGAGACAGATCAGAACATGGCCAGGTCCCTATTTTTAGAAGGAGGAAGTGAAAGTATGGAGAGGTTAAGTGATTTATTTTAATCCACAGGTAGGGTGCCATAGGGGGAAAAAGCCGAGAATTTATTATCTTTTGATTTGCTTTTTAATTTTTTATGTCAAGTACTATTTTGTATCTAGCTAAAATCCAGAAAAATTAGAAAAATGTATGAAAACGTTGAGCCTCTGAGGTGTGAGGAGGCCACGGTTCCAAAATGTGTATATATTAATTGCACGTATAAGGTTTGGCTTTTAATAAATGAGCACATCTCAAAGTCCATATCAGAACATCTGCATATATTTCTTTTAAATCATGTTTCATACAGCAGTCAAGTTGAAGAGTCACCTGATCAAAACCACCCCAGGACAGACCCCATAAAAAGAGGTCTCTAATAAACATTCCATCACGTAGGGCAATAGTGACGGATAGTGGGGTTCCTGTGAGACCATCTCTACCCCTTGGAGCTAGGAATATATCTTACCTCTGCTTATTACTAAGAGTGCCAGGAACAGTGCCTGACAAACTGCAGGGGGCAAAATTTACAAAAAAACAGGTTCATCAGTAGAGGGTGTTGATAATATTAGTCACCCCCCAACTCTTGTCCTTTGCTTATTTGACCAATATCTTCTTATTTGCTCTAATATACTGTACAATCTTGTTTTCATTCTCTTTGATTTTCTTACTTTTGTACCCCTTCACTTCTATACTGCAATCTTTGTAGTGTTCCTTTCTAAAGGACGCCTTATACACTATCATACTTCTTTACCTCTGATTATCTTTTAAAAATGTTCATGTTTACTAGGACCTTTTTCTTTTCCCATTTTCTGGTTTTTTTTTAAACAGTATTTCTATCTAAGCAGCATGCTTGACCATTAGGCAGACATTAATTTACTTCTGAACATTGTAGCTGTTACCTCCCTGTGGTAGCTCAAGCAGTTCTCACCATGCCTCTTAAAAATCTGCACATAATTTTCTTGGTTGGATATTACTAGTGCCTTTCATTTACTGGCAGCTCTGTGTTAAAACTAGAATCTAATGGAGCAAATCTAACTACTGAATAGAAACACTGCTTAAATGCCATCTACCTTTGCATCTGCAGACTCATGGATTCCTGCTAAAATTAAATTTCAAATCTAATCATTTATATGATATGCTCAAGGGTCATCTTCAAACAGTTTCTGTTCTGTATGCCTAAGAGGCAGATACTAACTCCTCAGGTAAATTGTTAGACCACCACATAAGGAAAGAGATAGGAAAATGCCACTGGGACCTGTGGAATGATAAGGAAACATATCCAAGTGGAATGTCTTCCTAAATATTTCCCCTGTCAATTTTCAAAGTTACAAATCAAACAAATGTGATTTGTTACATATTCTCTCTCTTTCTCTTAAAATGTAAGAGGAAAAAATAAAAGACAATGCTAACAACCTGAACCTTTTA